AGGGATGTATAGGGCTGTGTGTGTGTGCATGGGGCTGTATACGTGTGTATAGGGATATATACGTGTGTATATGGATATATACGTGTGCATGGGGTTATATAGGTGTGCACAGGGCCATACACGTGTGCACGGGGCTATACACGTGTCCATGCAGCCGTGTGTGGGGCTGCAGGGATGTATAGGGCTGTGTGTGTGTGCATGGGGCTCTATACGTGTGCATGGGACTATATACACGTGTGCACATGGGTATGCACGTGTGTATAGGGTTATATGGGTGTGCACGGGGCTATACATGTGTGCATAGGACTACGTGTGTATAGGGATATACACGTGTGCATATAGCTATACATGTGTGCATAGGCTTATATACGTGTGCACACGGCCATACACGTGTGCACGGGGCTATACACGTGTGCATATGGCTATATACATGTGTGCATAGGGATATACACGTGTTCACGGGGCCATACACGTGTGCACGGGGCTATACACGTGTGCATGGGACTATATACACATGTGCATTGGGCTATACACATGTGCATAGGGTTATATACGTGTGCACGGGGCTCTATACATGTGCATAGGGTTATATACGTGTGCACGGGGCTCTATACATGTGCATAGGGTTATATACGTGTGCACGGGGCTCTATACATGTGCATAGGGTTATATACGTGTGCACGGGGCTCTATACATGTGCATAGGGTTATATACGTGTGCACGTGGCTATATGTGTGTCCACAGGGATATACACATGTGCACAGGGCAATATACGTGTGCACGGGGTTATACACGTGTGCATAGGGATATACACGTGTGCACGGGGCTATACACATGTGCATAGGGTTATATACGTGTGCACAGGGCCCTACACGTGTGCATAGGGATATATACGTGTGCAGGGGGCTATAAATGTGTACATGGGGTCCCTACAAGCCATACGTGTGTGCGTGGAGCTCTACACGCGTGTGCAAGGAGCCGTATACATGAGCCTGGCCCCTATATGTGTGCGTGGAGCTGCGCGTGCAGGCAAGGAGCCCTATACGTGTGCACAGAGCCCTATACGTGTGCAAGGAACCCTATATGTGTGCAAGGAGCCCTATACATGTGCATTGAGCCCTATACATGTGCATTGACCCCTATACGTGTGCAAGGAGCCCTATACGTGTGCAAGGAGCCCTATATGTGTGCAAGGAGCCCTATACATGTGCATTGAGCCCTATACATGTGCATTGACCCCTATACGTGTGCAAGGAGCCCTATACGTGTGCA